ACCAAGCTGTGAGGAGGGGACAGGCTGGAGGGCATGGGGACATCCAGGGGGACTTGGAGAGGTGGGACCCTGCCAACCTCATGGGGATTAACCAGGCCAAGTGCACCTGGGTCGGGGCAATCCCAGGCACAAATCCAGGCTGGGGGAGGGTGGATGGAGAACAGCCCCAAAGAGAAGGGCCTGGGGGGGCTGGTGAGTGAGAAGCTCAAGAGGAACCAAGCCAGGAACCTCCTGTGTCCTGGGCAGCATGAAAAAGCACAGGCAGCAGGGCCAGGGAAGGGACTGTCCCCTCAGCTCTGGTGGGCCAGTGGTCACTCACACTGAGTGTCCTGATGTCCTGCAGCTCTTTTGCAAAGTATATTAGATCCTTGGGTACCGGAGAAGCCACCAGTGATCACAGGAACATTCCCAGATAGCCTGCAGTCTCCTGATCCACTCCCTTATCCCCTCAGCATGTCCTTCTCTTCCTGAAAGGGAATTTCCAGTGTCCCTTTGGGATGTGGAGTTGGGAAGAGTGAGTGAAACAAGCCTGAAGGGCTGAGCTAATCGCTAATTAATTATCTGACCTAGAGCTGGGAAGCTCCTTCCTTTCCTGCTCCAGCTCCTTCCTTCCCTGCTCAATTGGAATTGAGGAATTAGAAATTAGAATGGAGGAATTAGAAATTGGAATTGAGAAATTAGCAAACAAAGATCAATGGGTTGGTAAATATTTGGTGTAAAACCTGAAGTTCCATGTGTTTGGGGCTGCACCTCAGGAACTGGTTGCCAAGCTTGAAGGAACTGGGTTTTTTTTTGGCATTTTCTCCAGTGGGAGGTGCCTCCAGAGCTGGTTCCTCCCTCCCTCCCTCACTTGCCACATTTCAAAGGTGCTCATCACCTTATTGATTCTTCTCGATTCCCATTCCAGCTGGTGGGAATTGGTGCTCAGGGAAGGGAGGAGCAAGCAGAGGAGGGGCCTGGCCATGGGTGGGTTGTTGCTGATGCCTTGATTTGGGGGGAATTTGGGGGATTTCCTGTTGAATCCCAGTGTCCTCGCCCAGCTCTGCAAGGGGTGTGTGTCCTGTTTGGAACATTCCTTAGGGTCAGGACACAAATTCTCCGGATAATCCCTCCAGGCTCAGCCCCACTTTGGAGCCAGTAATCCCAGCCCACCCCCACGCAGAACCTGGCCAATCATCCCTTCCACCAGCTTGGTTTTTTAGCTCTAATCCCAGCTGATGGGTCGTGCAGCTCCAGCTCCCTCCGGCTTGGCACCTCCTGGGCTCCCTTTGGAAATTCCTCTTTCCAGGAGGGAATGGGTGGTGGGAGAACAACCAGCACCAGAGGGTAACTCCTGTCTTCCAGCCAGGTAGGAGCATCTTGTAGGTTAAAAACCACTTTCATAGCTTCTGACAATGAGAACTGAAGGATACTGGGATTATTTTGGTTGGGTTTCACTTGATTTTTGGGCAGATCTCTCAAAATCCTTTAAGAAGTGGGAATTTTTTCCTGTGTTCCCCCCCAAGTTTTCCCTCTGTCTGCTTTTCCTGCCACAAGGTAGAACTTGGTTTGAAGCTTGGGTGGTTGGGCTCAGAGGACAGAAAATCAGGCAAAGCATGAAGCTGTTACCTCTGCAAAAAAAGACAATTCAATCAGGCCTTTTTTGGGGGGGGGTTGTTTCTGTGGATTTTTACACTTTACCTTAAATCCGAGGGTTTATTTCTCCCTTTTGAGGTTGCAAATCAGAAATTGCAGCTTGAAGTGACTCCCCCAGCAAAGTGTCTGTGTGTTTTATGTTTAGAACAAACCCAGTGTCCTCTGCTGGGGTCTCTTGTAGGGTTCTTCGGTATGTTTATGGACTAGATTTTGGATCTTCTTCCTCCAGGACTTTGGAGGACTTGGAATTTCACCCTGTGTAGCTGGAGAGGGGATTAAAACCCTGCAACTCGTGACCCTTGGACCGGCACTCAGACAAAAAGTCTCACCTTGTAGACACAACAAAACAGGCTCTTACCAGGTCGCTTTGCTGCCTCTAATCAGTCTAACGAGCTAAATTTAATTAAATCTCCTTGGGAGTGAGAAGGTTCCACCCTTGCACGGAAGGTCATCTCCACCTGGGGATCCCAACCCTGCGGATCAAAACCTGCTTGGCCTTTCATCTGCTGGAGGCCACCTGGGAGTAGATCTTTGAGGAGTGTTGAGATGATTATCAATCAGTGTTTGGGGAGCTCTGTTCTCCCTGATTTTTGGGTGGCAAAAGGTAAAATCTTATCTCCACAGCGTGAGGAAATAATTGAGGGGACCTTGGATGGACTTCATTGATGTTTCCTCCTCTCTTCTGGCTTCACACTTGAGCCTTTCTGGTTTGAACCTAGAAGGCTGCTCCCTGGAAAGTGTTAATTCCTTTGTTCTTATTACATCCTGAATTCTGGGTCAGCTCTTTCCAGGGGGAAAAAACTGTCTTAAAATGAGGGAACAAAAAGGTCTTAAAATGAGGACGAAGGAGGAGTTTTCAAATGCACAGTTGGGCAGGAAAACTTTCTCAGCTGCTTTTGAACCTGGGCTACGTTGGACCTTTGATGTCTGCTGAGAGGGCTGAAAAGGTGCAGCCTTTGTCCCCTAGTCTGGAGAAGAATTCATTTCACTGGAGTTTTGGAGCTGGAACTTGCTCCTGGGTGTTGGTTCCTTCACGAGGTGCTGGGAGTCCTTGGTTCTTGAGGGGAACTCACTGAGAAACTTGGTTTCCAAGGGTCCTTGTTGCTCTCTTAACTTGATTGGAGGCAGAGACCCTGGAAGGCTGATATGCTGAGGACAACACGTGATTTCTCAGTAAAACAAAAAGAAAACAAGAGGTTTCTCAGCAGAAAGGTCCCTCTCAGCTCCAAGGATCTGAGCACAGCAGTGAGGTTTCACTCTGTGGGTTTATCTCCTCATCCTGTCCCAACCTACATCTTCCTAGAAGCCTTTTTTTTGGGGGTGTTGGGGTTACGTTTTAGTGAAGTCATAGAATAGTTTGGGTTGGGAAAGACCTTTCAGATCAATCATCAAGCCCAATCATTGCCCCAGAACTTCCAAGGCCACCCATGTGCCTCAGCACCACATCTACATGGCTTCAGAATTCCCCCAGGGATGGTGGCTCCACCACCTGTCAGGGCCTGACAACCCAGAACCAGTTCCTGATACCCAATCTAGGCCTCCCCTGAGGCCGCTTCTTCTTCCTTGGGAGAACAGACCCACCCCCCTCACCACGATCTCTTTTCAGGTTGGTTTTCACATAGTCCTCAACTCCCCCTTGCTGTGGTCTGACAGGAGGAGCCCTGTGGTTTCACTGAGGAGGGTGTCACCAGCATGAGCTTCCTGCCCTGATACTTCTTTCCTCTTCCCCTCCCTGACTCAATCAACAAAATTAACCCCTTAGAAGAGGACAAAATACCTTCTGAGTAGTCACTTTTATGTCCTTTCCCTGTGGGTTTTTCTTTCTTCTGCCTGGAAGACAAAGGTGTGTCTTCACAAGCCCTACTGCTGTATGTTCATTTCCAGTACATCTTGGAGAAGTGAAGCCTCCCCAGGTTGGACAAAATCAAGAAAAACAACCCTAAATGTCTCATCTCAGGGAATTGAATCAGCAGGAGTAAAGAATGAGGTGCCAGAGTAGGTGGGACAAACCAAAAGGCTTTTCCTAGTTCTGGCAGCTTTTGGGTGTGGTGCAAGTTCTGCCCCAGCGTTTGGACCTGAGTCATTTCCTCACATCCAGGGGTTTTGGCATCCTGACTGTTCCATGGCTGTAGGGGCTTTAGGCCAAGATTGTCTCAAAAGAGCTGTA